TACTTGAGAATATTTCTGAATAACTTAATAATAATAAATGCAGTCCATTGTTCCAGATGCATGGAACATCAGTAGGTAAGTATGCGATAGAATTGTGCACTAACTGTGAAGCACTCGTAGTAATTCTATAGATTCTGTTAACTTCTAATAAATATTATGAGTTCATTGTAAAGCAACATTGTTGCTGTAGACTGTAAAATTGAAGAAAATGAACTTTATCAATAACTAAGTAAGTTATATTATTCTGTGTCACATAAATTAATTATAATACCTATTACACCTACTATTGCACATCTCTGCAGCACCCCATGGTTAACTGTTAGAGAATGCCGCCCGGCATTAAGTCCGCCATCGTATTTATTTACAGAAGTGTAAATAAAACAAATAAAATAAAATAAGTCCCAAGTTTCATGAAATGGAGGAGTCTACGTCGGCACTGCTGTGTCGACTCGACCGGAGTGATACCACGACCGAGTAGTACACCGGCGTGAAACAACGCGAGCTTTTTATGCAGGTTAATGAAGGTCTAACCAATCCCCCATAACCCTATCCCCAAATCCCCAAAACCACTTTTTTAATTATCAACTTGACCAAACTCACGATTGTTCATTTTCTTTTGTTTTCAGGGAAACAAATGCATAGAACTAAGGTACGGATTGATACCACGGCCGAGCAGAAAACCATAGTGAAACAACACTTGCGTTGTCAATCTCCCCAATCCCTGAACCATCAACAACCCTCAAACTCCTAATCCCCAAAAGGCCGGTAACGCACTTGTAACTTGTAACGGTACAGGTGTTCCGGATGGTTAGAGCGACGCCGATTGCTCACCTTACCATCCGCTGATCCGTGCTTGTTTACCAACTTATCTCATAAAAAAACATAATTTGTAATGAAATATCGCATTCTACTCAACTAATCTCCTCCTTCCTTCAACGGAATCCGTTGTCGAATGCCTCCTAGCGCGCCGACCGACCGATGTCCATGGGACTCCGGGTCAAACGAAGTACAACTGTATTATAAGGATTTAGTGGAATTTCGAAAAATCTGAATAACAACAGGGAATCGAGTTGAAGTGTCCAGTAATAAAGCAATAATCCCAACCCCTAATAATAAAAAAATAACAAAATAAATAGACTATGTTACCTGCCTTTATTCTTGTAAAATCAATTTGTTCCTCTGACTACTTGAAGGCTGCTCACACGTCTTTATTCACCAACGTGACCACCACACTGTGTGCGCCGGCGCCGGCGGTGGGTACAGTGGCCACTCTGCAGTCTGCACACTGCGTATGCGTTCCATATCATTTACACGGTTATAAGTAAATACGTAGATATTATAGAGAAATAACTTTTGCTCGTGTCTATGCTTGCGTTTTTATTTAGAACTAGCTGTGCCCGCGACTTCGTTCGCGTGATTGTCGAAAACAAAACAACATCGTTTAGATAACAGTGGGCTATATACTTACATATATTATGAACTACACTCAAGAATTACTTTCAGTTTGAGTATTTGTGCGGCCTACGCAAATGTTCTTTGGGTTGGTATTGTTCGTCGAATCACTCAGCCTCACCTGTTAATTGAGCTGACTGTAAACGGACACATGCGTACCTACTGCCTTCAGAACGGGTCCGCTCAAACTGTTGTGGTTCTTTCCTCAAAAGGCCACTACAGAAAGAACTTGCACGGTTCTCACACGTAATCTTTTTATACATATTTGTCTGGACTTTAAAAGAGACAGACCTCTGAGTTTGTTTCGGCATTTCTTCTCAGAGTAGTCAGTTAGGAAATGTCGGCCTCATCGTTCGCTTGATAAAATTGACGTGTAAAAGTGCTGCCTTGTAGCCTATTTGCAGAAATAAATTCACTTGTTTCACTTGAAGGTGGTACAGTATTTTTTTTGCTAATAAAGATCCTGACTATAGTATATTTTTATTTGGTAATATTGGTGTATAGTTGATTACGTTAATGCTTCCCTATATACTATATTAGCGGTTGAATTATCCGGAGCATTATACAAAAACCGTTTTGTTATTTTTCTTTGAGGTATTTTTAAGGAAAATATCAAAGCAATATACAAAACCGACAAAATTTTAAAGATCGGTGCGTCGAACAGTCTCGTATGATAACAAATCGTCTGTTCGTGGTCACGACTTAACGAATTCAAACTCAGAAGTAAATAGGTACTTCTACTTTAGGGATGATACGTATTTACTGGTACAGGTACATATAAATACCTACCTAGTTTGAGCTTACCACTAAACCATGAAAACGATACCCATGGCGATAAATTAAAATTTTCGTTTCGTTCAAATACAGATTTATGTAACAAAAAGGTCGTTCGTACGATGCATGTTTTAAACTTAAGGCGACCGTAAAGGCCACATTTCAAAATACTTATAGCCTATTCTCCCTGCGTGGGCTGAGCACCGCCGTGCCCTCAGAGAAGTGACCGGCGATGGCGACCTCTCGCCTCCGGGCCTAGTGCAGGCCATGATGCGGAGTGAGGGGGACTGGGATGCCGTCTCCTCCTTTTGCGAAGCAGTCATGCTAGCTAAGGAGGAGGCGGGACGCGTGAGGCAGCGAAGCGCTGCCTCCTCGCAACCCAGCCATCGCGAAGGACACACCGGGCGTCGGGGATCGCGGGACGATCTCCGGCCACCGTAAGCGCGGGCCTGCGGACGGCGAGCATGGGTGGCTCCCCGTCCGACCAGAAACAGACCCGAGCGTACGGCGCGTCGCGTTCCGCGCGCGCCTCAAAGAGCCATCAGACCACCACAGATGGGGCCCAATAAGGCCGATGCCGATTCGGAGTCGCGGAGAATCTAATGGGTAACCGGAGCTCCGGCTCGACGTGCAGGAGAAGGAACGGGGTGGTTTTTAGTCAGTAAGAGACTGACATTCCCTCCCGCCTCACCCAGACGGGAGCAGTCATTCGATGATTTTCCCCCTTAAAAAGAAATAGCCTAAAAATATACAACATGATATTTTAATACTTGTTTAAAATATCATGTAGTATCTTTACTTCGGACTTAAAACCAATGACCAAACGAAACCAATTTTCCAAAGGTGTCGTTTCGAGTACTAAACTGAATTGCGTGTTGTAGTATTTTACTTCTTGAACTCACTAAATTAATCATATCTTCTGATAGAGTGAACCGATTTCGAAGAAACAAAAACTAAGTTATACTTCAAGTTGCGTAGAATTTTTGTATATAAGCAATGTCTGCATTGAATGCGTAGATTTTACGTGATGCGCGCACAAACAAACAGACAACAGACAACAGACAAACATTTCAAAAATGATGGAAGTGGGTTCTTCTTTTAGTTATCTTTTAACACGCTGGTAATTTTTTTGGCAATTTCTTCAATGTACAAAAATTACTTTTCTACAGATTTATTATATGTATAGATTTATTTACGTGTGACATGGTGATGGTATAATTGTTAAGTAGCCTAGCCTACCTACCCATTTCCTGCCGCGGGCGTCGTCAAACCCGATATAGGAAACATAACATAACATCAGGTCTTTTATTTCAGAAGGGGGAGGCAGAGTGCACATTATGCCACTGTACAATGTAACACCCACTTTCCCTATTTTATGTTATGAGTCCCATGTAATAGGGGGTGAGCCTATTGCCATAAACCGTTTGTAGACCCTCTTGTTTAAATAAGGCCTAAAGTCACCAGTGGACTGTCACCTGCGTTGATGATGCTAAGTTATAAATCAATCTATATTAATAAAAATGGATCGCCTAAATCTATAAACAAACTGCCGAATGACTGTATCGAATCGTGAATCGCGTTCGTTGTCGTTAGAACAGGCGGAGCTGGGGCGGGTCGCTAGTGTGGTTATAATTATACAACAAATAGAATTTCTGATCTATTGTACCTAGTTGTGTTATAATAATTATAAAGAAGATACCGAACTAAACATTGGCATTAGGTAAGTATGTACCCATTATTATAGCTAGCCATATATTTTTTCAACAATGATAATTATTGTTAATGCTTGTAATGTGATGTTCCTTCAGTAATAGCTTGCAATAAAGAATTTAAATAATGGAAATCTTATGATAGGCACTTAATATATGCGATTTTTAACAAAAACTATTGGTTTGAGGAACAGTTATAGAATTTTTTCGTTTGTAGAAATTTGCTTCACAAAAAAGCGCTTTGTTTACTAACCTAATATACACAAGAAATGTCATGAACTCCAACCTAGGATTTTTTTGTTTAATTTGGGAAAATCATCGAATGACTGCTCCCGCCTGGGTGAGGCGGAAGGGAGTGTCAGACTCTTACTGACCAAAAACCACCCCGTTCCTTCTCCTGCACGTCGAACCGGAGCCCCGGTTACCCGCCGTTAGGTTCTCCGCGACTCCAACCTGGGATAGGCGGTCGGTTATTGACATGCACTTAATAGGGAATTTCTGTGTAGGCCGATTTCGCTAATAGTATTCTAATAAATTTAAGTTGTACATATTTATTTATTTTCTTATTTTTATGTATCATGTAAATAAGTACTAAAAATAAAGAAAACAATGTAAATCTAAGTTATAAGAAACTTCACGTGATCTAAATAAACTGTATACCTCTATAGAATATAAGTTATTTTATTACGGTGTACGAACTATCAAAATTGAATCGAACGATGGCGTCGAACAATACACTTAAAACAAAAGCGTCATCTAACGTGTAGTGTTTAAACTAAAAGAATAGCGTCATCTAACGTGCAGTGGTAATACTAATTGAATAGCACCATCTAGTGTGTAATAGACTAACCGCAAATGTAAGTCCTGGAATTTGCTAAAACTTTAATGATAAATTCCAAGTTTATTGTGATAGTTAAAATTAATTATGAAATTAAAACATTGAATAATAATTTCAATCTTTAAATATGTCAAAATGATAACAACATTGCAAAAACGAAACGAAATTCACTGTCAAACCATAATGACAGCTGGTCAGTAATGACATTAGGAATGTCAAGGTTAGAAAAAATTGCGAAACTATTGTTTGTAGCATATTATATGCTTTGACCTTGTCTGTCTTCACAAGTGTGAACGAGAGGGAAATGTCAGGGGTAAAGAGCGAAGATGCGCTCAGTAACGCAACGCAATCGCAGAAGACGTGTCGATAGTAACATACGGCTATAAAATATTATATTATCGCGAAAATCTCGAAACAAACGACTGTAAAAGTAGCTTGTGTATTAAATGATAAAAAACTAAAATTTTGACTTCATTAATTAAGAAAAATTTTGCGAATAGGCAGAATCGTGATCGAAGTTTATTTTCATTGTCGATGTAAACAAAAGAGCTGTGTTGTTATAACAATGTGTTTGTTGCGGTGAAGGGGCGTGAATGAGGTTCGTGCCGGACTGTATCGCGAGGACTTTTAAACGAAAATACTGGAGGATGAGCGGCGTCAGTCGAGATGCCCCTGTGGGCATACAACTCATTCAGAAACTGAGCAACTATTGCTGTCCTAGGCTTCAGATCAACCGACTTCGATGGTGAGTCACATAGACTGTATAGCTTAACACCTTGACTTAGTTTTAAGATTGTTTAAAAAGTTGATTCTAGTATTTAAATTGCACTGCTCATATCACAATCATGAATGTTGTATGCCCGAAAAATGAGTTTCAATATCCAAATATTATGATTAAACCGCGCAAATCACCACTAATTAGCCAAATAACTAATTAAAACTTCATTTCAATGCCTGCTTATCACTAATTCCTAATTAATATATTTGTAAAATGGTTTTATGAAAGGAAGAATGCTAGAATGTTGAATATGTAAAATTCTCTAACTATTTAAAAAGAAATACAAGGTTTCAAGTGCCAGTGATGCATGTACAGGTCATGGTTGTAATTATAATTATTTAATAAATGACAACTGCTAGTTATTAATAGTTTTATTAATTGACTCAAGGCGCTATTGATTTTTATTCATAGTAAAAGGTATAATATCTGCTATTGCTATTGTTTAGTTTATTCTAGCTGGCGAAATAAGGGTCTTATATTTCATAATGTATGTCTCTAACTATTCTGTCTTCATGAAATGTGTAGTCTTTTAACTGGGTATACAACACCCGCGGGAAGAGTTGAGGTAGTGTCAAATTTTGTCTACACAAATAGTCTTAATAATCCACCATTTTTCCAGTAAAATAGACAACATCTCCACTTATGTCTCAACATAATTATTGCCAATATACCCATCCAAAACGCGACCTCACCAAACATAGCTTAACCTTCTGTAATCTCTCAGTCAGCTAATAGATTAGCAGTAGATAATTAAAACTGCACAGTTAGAACTCAGTGTTGTGCTTGGTCACGCATGAAATGATTGTGATAATATGAAGTACCTATGTGTTGAGTGATAAGTCTACAGTACCATAGTATATAAACCTATAATATATGTACTTTATTTAAAATATATGTTATAATTATTGTAACACTAGGTTCTGACCGCAACTTCGTATGCGCAATACCGATTTCTCCCGTTCCCTTAGGATTATCAAGTTTTTTTCTGTCTTAAAAACCTTCTCCTAATAGTAACAAATACAAAATAAAATAAATTTGTGAAATCCAGGTCAGCCATGCAGGCGTGATGCCTTGACCGAGGGAAAAGGGATTCATTTTTATATATGTACTAGCTGTGCTTAGGACTTCGTCCGCATAGAATAGTGATTCACAGCTCCTACCCCGTAGATGATAGCGTGATAATATGTAGCCTATATGTTGAACCAACCTGTTAGTAATATTCATGCAAAATTTGAAGTAAATCCATGCAGTACTTTTTGAGTTTAACCCGGACGTACATACAGACAGAAATTCTAAAAACCATATTTTTTGGTTGGATATGGATTGTACAGTTATCACTTTCCTACGATTTTATTATATGTATAGATATAAATTACATCATCGCTTGTATGCATACTTCCCCGTAAAAGTTTCTATGTAATTAATTAATAATTTTTTACCAGTTTCATGTTATAGGGGATTACTTTTATATCTTTATACCAGCTGTATACTTATTATTTTTCTGCCTACCCAAGAATCAAACACAAGGCTCCATTGTCGATGATGATTCAGTTGATAGGTTGATATAAAATCAAAGTTAGATTTAAGAAAAGAAATTGCTAATCAATCCTAAATATTTGTATTAACTGAGTTTGGAATTGAACTAATTGTCTCATGTTTTGAGATGATGCTATATTGCTAATACCTAATTATATTTCAATATTTACTTCCTATTCATCAACAGCCTATAAGTGTCCACTGCTGACCAAAGGCCTCTTCTCACACAGAGAAGGTTTGAGCACTTAATCACCACGCTTGTTCAATGCGGGTTGGCGATTTCAAACTTATAATTAGAAATTATAAGCTCAGCTTTACCGTTTGTCGATGGTGTCTGAATAATCTTAGAGAGTACATATCACTCGGAAAAAGTCACATTGGTACTTGCCGTTAGTAGGCTTCGAACCCACATTTTCGTGCATGAGAAGCGGGCGTCTTAAACCTCCGGGCCACCACGACATTTTTTATTTATTATTAGCAAAGGAACTATGAAATGTAATGAAAATGAAACCCAACACAGAACAGAATCCATTCAACCACAATATAATTATAATTAATGAATAAACCACAAATTAAGTCACCAGTAATATTAGATTGCCTCATTGGTCGTATGACTGCCGGGCGTTACAAGTGCGTTACCGGCCTTTTAGGGATTAGGAATTTGAGGATTGTGGGGTCTTCAGGGATTGGGGAGATTAGGGTATTCTGGCCTCCGGTAACCTCACTCACATGACGAAACACAACGCAAGTGTTGTTTCACTATAGTTTTCTGCTCGGCCGTGGTATCACACCTGTCGAGCCGGCCCAGCAATGCCGAAGCATGGCTCTCCCACACTTAAAAATACATGGAATGCGTATTATGTATGTATGTGTTCGCAGATAATGGCCGGTATACGAGCAGTGTCCGTGTACTTAGCATTTAGTTGCTATCTCTATAGTGACACATACAAACATGAATTAGCTATTAAAATATTCAGTTTGTGTATTTTTCTTTTGTTCGTTCGCGTAACGTGTAATTAATTTGTTAAGTTTAAGTAAGTTAAGTTGTAATTATTTTTAACGGACTTCCCAAAAAGGTGGTTACGTTACCCGATTACTCCGGCCTTTGTGGACAGATGTTAATAATTCTTTTTTTGTTGGAAAGTTCATAACTCGGGGTGGACCCATTTCCACCAGGTCAGGATCTGATGATAGGATCCCATGGAAACCGAGGGGAACTTTTCAAAATAGTAGGGGCGGCGAGAGAAAAAAATTCTAAACACCATATTCTTGGCTTTGGTATCGATTGTAGATCACGCCCAAAGCGAAAGTCAAAACTGTACATCGAATATTTTTACAGTTTTCACTTTCCTACGACTTTATTATGATTTAAAACTACTGGAATAACATATATCCCTCGAGACAGCATAATTATACATCCCCACCATATAGATGGTTGGCAGGCCACAACTGTGCGCTTCTCACGTAGCTTCCTGCCTCACACAGCAAAACTGTGGAATGATCTGTCGTCGGCGGTATTTCCGGACCGATACGACCTTCAAACCTTCAAGAAAACAGCGTATTCCATTTTAAAAGGCCGGCAACGCACCTGTGTCTCCTCTAGTGTTCCGGGTGTCCATGGGCGGCGCTGATCGTTTACCATCAGGTGATCCGTCTGCTCGTTTGCCTCCTATTCCTATTCCATGAAAAAATTCCTACTGGAATGCGGGCTACTAACCCACTAGCTGAACTAGGTAGCTATTTTTATGTTATTAGGGGCGATCCTATTGCCAAACACTGGACACAATAACACGTAGGTACAGACTATACCAATCCATCAGTTACAGAGGTCTACGAAAATTGCAACACCCGATAAAACTACAACCGACCCAAGAATTGAACTTTGAACTTCTGTATCCGTTAGCAATCGCGATAATTAGTGTCTAATTAGCTAATAGTTAAGTCAGTACTGAAATGTGCATAGTTGGATGTCAACTGCTTCAATACTTTAAATAATCAATTTATTGGGTTCAAAGTATTCAAAGTCAAAGTAAAAATCATTTATTTCAATTAGACCAGGAAGGCACTTTTGAACGTCAGCAATAGAAAATTAAAAGTGAAGTTATTTGCTCATTCCAAGGTGTAGATTCCTATGGAGAAGAACGAGCAAGAAACTCCATAGGTTACTCTTTCCAATCAGGTTCACAATACAATTCTCTAGTTACACAGATTTATTGGTTTGATTGTGCGATAATAATGTAACACCAAATGTATTACTGGGGTTTTTTAAAAAAAACCTCAGTAGTAGCACGGAGACTAGGTGTCTGGTACAATAGGCTCACCCCCTATTACATGGGACTCATGACATAAATACTAAATAGTGAAAAGTGGGTGTTATATTGCATTAAGTGCCGTAATGTGCACCTCTGCCTACTCCTTTGGGGATAAAAGGCGTGATGTTATGTTATGCTAAGTAGAATTAATTTAAAAAAAATGTTTCTGAATGTGATACTTGATTGTAATACAATTTGATATTCAATTCAAATATAAGTAAATACGAAAGTTAGTAATTCTGTTTGTCACATCGTTAAGGTCATTCAACTATACGAACAGAAATTTGATATCTACGTGAGTACGGGGATGATGACAGGGTATGAAAATTAAAAATATAATTAGTCCGTAAGTTAGGTAATGAAAAAATATTAGACACGTATTTTTTTATTTTGTCGTATAATAAAACAATACTTAGATAAAACGAATCAAAGTTTAGGAGTGGGGGCTAAAACGTCATTTCTTAGTATAAAATGTACTGAGAAGTGACGTCACGCGACATTTCAAATCAATATATCTTCGAAACTATTCGTTTCTGTGAGAAAATAAAAAATACGTGTCTAATGTTTTTAAATAATCTATCAGACGGACATTAAAATAAAAATTAGTCGTCTACCCTATTATTGCAATTCCAAAGAACTTCACAGGAGGGAATGAACAGATGGACATACAAACATACAAAAGAGAGATATTCGCGTCCATGTTACAGAACGCCCGTTAAAAATCCCCGAAAATGACTAAACCACCATATTAGTAGTAGTTAGTACACATCTGTATGAACGCCGCTCAAAGAGCCATAAGACCACCACGGATGTGGCCCAATAGGGCTGATGCCCATTCGGAGCCGCGGAGAACGTAAAGGGTTACCGGGGCTCCGGCTCGACGTGCAGGAGAAGGAACGGGGTGGGTTTTAGTCAGTAAGAGTCTGACACTCCCTCCCGCCTCACCCAGGCGGGAGCAGTCATTCGATGATTTTCCCCCCTTAAAAAAAACACGTTTTCTGTATCTTACAATCATGGCGATCTGTAAAATAGTCAAAGTCAAAGTCAAAATCATTTATTTCAATTAGACCAAGATGGCACTTTTGAACGTCAAACAACAAAAATGGACTCGAACTGGCG